CTCCAAGAATTTTCTCCCTCTCTCAAACTCCACCCTTTTCTCTTTTCCTTTCAAGTTCTCTTCAAGTTTTCTCTAGAAGAATGAAGCTTCAATGGTAGTCAAAAACACTTATAAAGTGTCTTAACAAAGTTTAAATAGAGGGCTTTAAAAAGCACAAAAAATTTATCTTGGTGGAAAATATCATCAAGGATGATCGCAGGATCGTCCCATATGATGTACTTAAATAAAGGGCTTTAGAAAACCCTAAAAATTCAATTCTGGTGTCAAATATCATCCTGGAAAATCGCAAAATCGTCCAGTACGATGTGTAGAATTTGACCTGATAGTCCCGAATAATATCAGGATAGTCCTGGATGATCAGTTCAAATTTTTACAGATCGTCTAGGATGATGTTGTGGATCAGCCTGGATGATTAGAAGAAAAATTATTATATTTCATCTGGATGATTTAGGAAAATCAAGTATGTCAGCAAGCATCATATGGTACGATATACAGATCTTCCAAAATGATCTTATTGAAAAATTTAACCATAATTCATCCACCAATCACTTGATCAATTTAGACATGATTTATATTGATCATCCATGACAATATAGATTGTCTGGGATGATTAGAACAAAAATTTATCTTAAAACCTTACCTAAATTATCATTGGCAGCTATTTTCCAAGATCATAAAGGATTGTCCTAGATGATCCAAAATCATCTAGTATGATTAGTTCAAAACTTAAACTTCTGGTTTTGACTAGATCTCACTCCCTTGAGTGTGTTTATGCATGTCACCAAGCATGCAAACTCCCTTACAGAACTTTACTCAAGAAATCAAAACTATATCAATAAATATTACAAACCCTTCACAGTATATCCTTAATAAACCCAATCTTGAGCTTTGATTCTTTATTTGATGTCGCATGGTATTCCTGAAATATTAATATACACACAAACAAATATAGAATGAAATACTATGAGATATAAAGATGTTTGTTATTATCAAAAAATATAAAACTCATGAGCTTGAGTCACAACAATAAGAACATCCTTGAATAGAAGATAAATCAAAGAAAGGAAACATCAATTGATCTGACCTCTCAGATCCAACCCAACCAAACCAGTAGTGAAAATGATAAGCCAAAAAAGTAGAACACACATGAAATAACTCCCAGGACCCAAAAATTGATAATCCAACAGGAAAATCCGAGAACATAACCAAAAAATAAACAAGTAACCAAAATGGCTGGCTCTAAAATTCAGTGCAATCAGCAACCTACCTGCAACACCAAAATTAGAATATAAAATATTAAATAAGATCATACAGAGAGCCTCTCTAAATAACCAGAGGGACATAAAGTAAGGCCAAACCAAAGTGCTACCAAATAGCAAGTAATGCAAGACATCAAGGAAACCATCAAAATAATAATAACTACAAGGAGAGGGATTAAAAAAGCCAAAAGCACGAGTGGTAAAATCCACCAATCTACCAGCCTTAATAAGAGGAAGGAACACAAACCCAAAATTACATCAAGAAACCAAGACATTAAGTTCTAATATAAGGAATACCAATCCCATCCTAAAAAATAATCCCTCTTAACTTCACAGAAACATTATTAGCATAATAATCTATAAGGTTAGCCAAATTAGAACCCCAATTAGCCAACCAAAAAGCATAGGAATTCCCTTCCCAAGGGACATGAGAGAAAGAGACATTAATTAATAACAAAAACTACTTAATATCCCTTAGTAAGTAGAAAAGTTTCAAATTGCAAACAGACTCATCCATATTGTTAAAACATTGAATAATGTAAGAGGAATCAACCTCAATGCTGAAAGTAATAATGTCCAAAGATATACAAAGTTTAATACCTTAAATACTAGCAGAAAGCTAAAAAAAAGTCTTATGTCGCAAAGGTAAGGGTCCATCAAAAGCAATAGTAGTATTACCAATATTTACCCGAGGATCCCACAACAACCTGAACAATTTCCATTGACAATGCCCTTCAAATTTAGCTTGAAAGAATTAATGGGGGGCTTAATCTAGTAAACAATTCTAGAACCAGTCGGGTGGAAATTGCCATCAAGTTTAATGCCTAAATCATTATCAACAAAATAACAGTTTTTAAAATTCTTCACTGAAAGCAAGTTAACAGATACTAGCTGCAAGACTTTATCTTTCACATTATTAATAATTCTATTATGGTTCATGCCCACACCATTAAATTAAGAGTTGTTCTGGTCCAACCATAAAAACCAAAGAATAAGTGAAGGAATAACATTCCTAATATGCCCCTCGGACTTAACAAACTAAAACACAAGGAGAGCATTAATAGAAAGGTTAGTACTAAAATAATTGAGCTTAAATATATAATCAAAACAAATCCAAGTTTTAATAGCGACTAGACGAGACAAAAAAACATGATGCATATTCTCAACATGGTAGCAACATTGACATTTGGAAGGAAAATTAAAACCAATACCCCTCATATTCCAAATAATAGTTTTAAATATAAAAAATAAGTTAATGAGAAGTATGCGAGCGACGAGTATTTCTAGAAGGTTGTAAGATAATGTTTTTGCTTTTCCTTCCTCTCCTATTCTGAGATTTGGAAAAACTAGTATCACAATCTTCTATGGCATAAGATTTAGCAATAATGTCCATATCATCAGTGTTAGTAAAAGCATCACTATTATAATTAGAGGTGGAGGGAAGCTTACAATCATTTTTTGGAGCTAGTTGAGGACATTCATCCTCCATAAATAAATCCTCTTCCTCCATATTACCTTCTCTTCCCAAGAAGAACCACTATTGCCAACCACATTAAAATGATTCTCCTCCTCCTGCACTTTGTTTTGTTAGAGATAGAAGCTCTGGTTTTTTAGAGAGATAAAGGTTCTAAAATTTGAATTTTTGTTCCAGGTTTTTACTTATATTTCTGAGGAGTTGATGCGGGAGATGGTGGTGGAGGGACGCCGGCCATCTTCGGCGGCGACAATGAGTGGTACTACAGATGAAGGATTACTTAATCAAAAATTGGAATAAGTAAATCGCTAAAATGCTGGTCTACAATAGAATCATTTGGATCTTGCATTCAAAAGTGCTGGAGTCCATTGCTGATTAAAGATAACATTATGGAGGTCCCTAAGAAGAATTTTCATGTGGAAGGTAAGGGCAAGGTCATTACTGAAGAGGTATGTACTATAACTCCTCGGTTAGCCAACAGATTGTCAGAATGGGATTTGTCTAACCCGTCGGCTTTGTCATCTAAAATGAAAATATTTGTTAATAGGTTTGGTAATTTAAATGCAATCTCAGGACATGTTCTTGGGATAAATGCAAATTCTCATATCCCTATTAACACAAATCTTCATTTTAATGGTTGTTCGAAAGCTAAGAAGAATGGTGTTGTGGATAAGGTAAATGTGGTAATGCCTAAAAGAGTTGTGAATGAGATGGAAGGAAATCCGTGGAAAAAGAAGCCTTACATCCAATTGGATTTCAAAGAGGAGGATTTGGTGTTAATGGAAGATGGTAAAGTAGTTAAAATGAGGGAAGATGTTGAAATTCTGAATTCCTGCAAGTTGAAATACTCCCTAGTGATCAAGGTGTTTGGGAAGGAAAAACCATCTCATATTGTAGCTTGGGAAGTGAGACATCAATGGAAACAGTTTGGGAATTTCCATTTCATAACCCTTGGCAAAGGTTGGTCTTTGTGTTGCTTTGAATCTACGGAGATGATGGAAGGTGTTCTGTTAGGAGGGCCTTGGTTTGTCAATGGGCACATTATGGGAATGGAGAAGTGGATAGCGGAGTTTTCAACCCTATCATTGAAGGGAATATCCTCTCCTATTTGGATTAGGATGCCTCACTTACCCTTGCAATGTTGGGATGAGGTTAATGTGGCAAGAATTGCTGCATTGATCGGCAAACCTATAATGATGGATGGAAACATATTTCAGTGGGGGGGAAATGGAATTTGCAAGAGTTTGTGTAAGAGTTAAGCTTAATCAACGTCTTCCACTAGAAGTATGGGTGGAGAGCATATCTGGGAGGTTTTTTCAGAGGTTTGAGTATGAGAAAATATCCACATTTTTTTATGATTGTGGATTGATAGGACATGTGAAAGCTGATTGCAAATAAAGGAATTCTGGTACAACGGATTGGATTTTTTATGAAGGAACTTCTAAGCATGTTAAGGAGGTGGGAAAGACTAAATGACTCTACCTATGGACCATGGATCATGGTTAACAGGAGGAATAGTAGAAGACCTGCTCTGATGAAGGAAAAATTGAAGGTTACTAAAAAACAATGGAAAAAGACTAAAGAAGTTCATGGTGAGAATGTTGAAGTAAAAAGAGCTGTACAGAACTTGGATGCAGTCGTGGAGTTGGATTCTAATGCTGAGGAAAATCTTCCGGAAGAGGGGGGAATATGTGTGGAATAGGAAATGCTTGCTCATGGGTTTCAACCTAATTCTATTGAGGATGATGTTGTGAAGAGCTCTGATAAAGCAGAGAATGCAGTTAAAGTGGTTGGTATGTCTTCTTCTACTGATAAATACTTTGTCTTAGCAAATATGAATACGTTTGAAGTGTTGAATGGGGAAGAGATGGAAGGGGAGGGAGTTGAATTGATTAATTAAATTTCTGTTGCTTGCGCTAATAAATGTGAAGAAAAGGTGGCTGGTGGAGATGGCATTTTTGATAAAAGTGGAGGGAAAAATGCAGTGAGGGAAAGTTGTGTGGTCTAGAGAAGGAGAATGATATTGGCTCTAATGGGGACATGATTAAGTGTAAGCTTGCTAAAGAGCTTAGGGCCTTAGGGCCTATTAAAAACATTCCACGTGGTAGAATGTTTGAGGGGGTTAACAAGAGAAGAGATTGGTGCTCTTCCCCCTAAATTATTTAAATGGAATCTATTAATTTTTGTATTGTAGAGGGGACAAGAAGAGAGAGGCCTCACTCTATATGAAGGAAATTATCAAGGATTTTAATTTTTTTTTTGTGGGAATGGTAGAGACTAAGATCAATTCTTTTGATAGAGTCTCTTTTGTTAGAATGATGGGTCCTGCTTGGGATTTTTTCCTTCTTCCTTCAGAAGGGATTTCTAGTGGAATTATGATTCTATGGAAATCGAATATGGCATCCTTTTCAGTGGTGAAGACATCAGATCAATGTGTTATACGGGTTCTTAACGTCTCCAATAAGGGAGTGTGGAGGATTACAACTGTTTATGGTAGTGAGGAGGCTCATAAGAGAAGATTGCTTTGGGAGTGTGTTCAGGAGCACTCTCAGAGGAAAATTCCTTCTATTATTGGAGGGGATTTTAATTATATTTTGGCTCCAGAAGATAAGAAGGGTGCGAGAAAGTTTGTTTTCTCTCAAGGTCCCATGGATATGATAAAGTTTAAAAATGATAATGATTATCATGAAGTTGGGTTTGTTGGACCAAGCTTTACTTGGTGCAACAACAAAGTTGGAGGAGGGAGGATACTCGAAAGATTGGATAGGTGTATTCTCAATTCATTGGCCATCAATAAGATTCAAATTGCTGTTGTGAGGCACCTAGCCAGAGTGGCTTCAGACCAAAATCCTATTGTGCTAATGATATTTGAGTCGGTCTCAAGAGGGAGGAGGTGCATTAGGTTTGAAGATGCTTGGTTAACTTTTAAGACATCAGCTCATATTGTCTCTAATGGGTGGAAGAAAACTTATATGGGGGATGATATGGAAATCCTTAATAAGAAATGCAACAGGACTTTGAAGGACTTGTTATATTGGAGCAAGTTCAAGTTGAAAGAATTCTCAAAAGAGAAAGAAAGATTGAAGGCTAAAATTTTTCAAATTCAAGAGGAAGAAGCTAGAGTGGGGTGGTTGGATGAAGATAAATTATGGTTGCTTAGAGCCAAGGTCAAAGAGCTTAATGTCATCCTCAATTTCTTGAATACATGATGGAGGCAAAGAGCCAAAGTAAAGTGGATTGAAGATGGTGATTCTAACACAAAGTTTTTTCATTCTTTTGCCAATGTAAGGAAAAATTCCAATTGCATTACTCAGCTAAGGAGTACAGATGGAATTATGACTGAAGAACTGAAGGAGGTGGAAGAGGTGTTATTCAAATTCTTCCAGAATAAATGGAAGAGCAGGATGTGTTGTTTGGAAGACTGGCCTAAACCGTGGATTGTTTTGGAAAAGGAAGATAAATTCTGGTTGGACAGGGAGCTTTCTGTGTTCGAAATAGATGAGGTTGTTTTGAAGTTGGGTAATAATAAAGCTCCAGGTTGTGACGAGATTACATACTCCTTTTTTTAAGCTTTTTGGAGCATCATAAGGGAGCATGTTTATAGAGTGGTTAAACTATTTTTTTCTATAGGTAGGATGTGCAAATAATGGAAAGATACTATGATTGTGTTGATTTCCAAGACTTTAAACCCGGTTTCTCCTGCTACTTTTCATCCAATCCGTTTATGTAATTCAATCTACAAAGTTGTGCCTAAGGTATTATTAAATAGAATGGTGGAGATCATTCCTAAGATTATATCTGAAGAACATGTGGCTTTTGTGAAGGGGAGATCGATCTCGGATCACATTCTTTTGACTCAAGAGGTGTTTGACAAGTTAAGGCATTCCAAACCAAGCATTGGTTTTTTAGCCATTAAAGTGGACATGGAGTAGGCATACGATAGTATAAGTTGGGCAACTCTTGAAAAGATGATGTTAGATTTGGGATTCACATTCAATTTTGTTAAATTGGAAATGGAGTGTGTTTCAGATCCCAGATTTTCCATTTTGATTAATGGTTCCAATTCCAGTTGGATTGAGGGGAGGAGTGGATTTCGACAAGGGTGTCCACTCTCTCCATTCTTATTTATTTTGTGCTCACAACTTTTATCAAATGCTTTCTCTATGAGAGGTTCTGATGTGGGCATTAAAATTTCTTTTAAATCCCAAAAGATTTCTCATCTCCTATTTGTAGATGATGTCTTGCTTTTTGTTGAAGCTAAAGTGAGAAGCATGAAGAAGGTTAAAGACATTGTTGAAGACTACAGTTCTTGGACCGGCCAAAGAATAAATTTTCAAAAATCCTCCTTGATGTGTGGCAATTCAGTGTTAAGGAGGAGGAGAAATCACATCTCAAGGATTCTGGGAGTCATATTGGTGGGAGAATTTGAATACTTGGGAATAAATATGGCTCTAAGAATATTGAAGAAGCTGGATTTCCAAATGATACAGGATAAATATATTAAAAAGCTTAATACTTGGGGAAATAGGTATATTTCTCTAGTTGGTAGACTAGTTTTGGTGAAAATTGTCTATCTTTCTCTTCCTTTTTTTCTCATGTCACATTTGGATAGGGAAAAGTGTATTGGGACATTGCTCAACTTGAGCTGTTAGCATTTTCATCTCTTAAAGTAGTGTTGCAAGGAAGATTTCAACATGTTAAAGGCATTATTGTGGAAGATGGCAAAAAGAATGTTCTCCTTTTTCTACATAACATGTATAGCTTACCGAAGAAGAGGGATTGGAGCTTGGAAGATGAAGATTTATTTTTTTTTAGTGAGTATAATATTGTTTTCTTTCATTGGGTCAATCGTAATTGTAATAAGTTAGCAGATTACTATGCTAACTTAACTTGTTCTTATGATTTTTTGGGACTTATTTTGTGAGAGAAATCTTCCTTCTTCTTTTGTTAAGTTAGTAAAAGAAGAATGTGATAGTTTTGCTATATCACATTAGATTGTATTTAGGATTCTTTTATTTTTATGCAAGTTTGCATTCTTAAAAAAAAAAAAAAAAAAAACGAAAACCCAATCATAGCAGTATTACTTTTTTTCAAGCAAGTTATTACTCACATGAATAACCTTAGCATTTTTCGGCTCATTCAAAATGGAACCGTTAATAGAGGTATTAGCTAAGAACATTTCATTCATTTTAGGACAATTTTTGTTAATAGAATAAGTAGCAGTAACATCAACTCTAGATGTATTTTGGTTAGCACCATCCACCAAAACTGGCACTTCCATATTAGCACCCACAATAAATAAATCAGATGAAGGTTTAACAAGGACTCCCTGATCATTAGGGACATCAACAACATTATTTACCATAGGTTTAACACAAGCCAGATGATTATTAGCCTCCCAATTTTCAATCTATTTCAATTTAGATCCCTCCAAATGCTCATAATTTTCAACATGAATCAAATCCACATCAGTTACCGTAGGTCCAACGCAAGCTAGATGAATATTAGCCTCACAATTTTCAATCTGTTTCAATTCAAATCCCTCCAAATTCTAAGAATTTTCAACATGAATCAAATCTACATCAATCTTTTACGGTTTGTTAGAAAAATCCTTCTCCTTACAAAGATGAGGATGCTTATTAAAACAATCATTAATACCATGTACATGCATTTTGTAATAAGAACAAAAAATAGGAAGATTTTCAAATTCAAATTTTTGGAAATATCATTTCAATTCTAACAAATATCAGTGGGATTTTTCTTAGAGATATCCATCTCAACCAAAACCTGTGCTACAGAAGGTTGAGAAATAGCCATTGTAGCCTGGTCAGTTTGTACTGGTCCTCCAAAAAGTCAAAGCCAAACTATATAAAACTTGAGAATTAAAGAATTGGAAAAGAAATCCAAACAGGCGCTATAAGGGATTATTCACTAACATCAAAATTCGGTGGCCATTTGAGCAAATGCATTTGGCATGCCTAGATATAATAGGATCTCCTAGCAAATATCCAGCTATATTTAACATTATTAGAGAGTTGAATCACGACATGCCTTTGATCAAGTAAACCAATATGGAAAGAACCCGATAGTCTAAAGTAGCAAAAAAATTTTTGTATAACATCAAGGTTGAGACATCTGAACAAAACATTGCCTACCAATGTTAAAGAAAATGGAGCGGCCAGTTGAGTGACCACAATATCCTCGAAGAAGAAAACTGATAGCCCTTAAGCGAGGAATGCACAAAATTCAATTTTGAAGAAGATGAAGCAAAAGCAGCTATGGCATCCTTAAAAGTTCGACATTTCCCCTCAACAAGATAAGGAGCCGGAGGAAGGGATGATGACGGAGTTATCATTTCCCAAAAACCAAAAATCCCAGGAAAATCTCAAAACCAAACATATAAAAAGACGAGTAAAGATCAACGATTAAGAAAACAAATGAAAAGTAGAGAGAAAACCATGCCAAGAAGGCCAACGAGCACGATGGTGTAACCTTAGAACACCCACAAATTGCTAGAGCACGAGAGACTCAAAATCTTATCTATATTTCCCGTTCTAAATGAAAAATAGAGAAAGCTTACATTCATATTTTTGAGCTAGTATAAAAAATATTAAAATAATAAAAATAATATATATATATATATATTAAAAAATAATAAAAAAATCTATAATAAATAAATAAATAAATAAATAATCATAGGATGTTCTAATTCAAACTTTGTAATACATAGGGTTGATAAAAAAGTACCTCTGGAACCTATCAATTCGTAGGACAATCTTTAGTCTATTGTTCTAGTAGAAATCAAAATTTTGTAGCCCTATCTACAACTCACACATAATACCAAGGTATAGGAAGCTATGTTTCTCAAGTCCTTCGGCTTAAACAACAAATCCATATCCATGGATTCCCTCTCAATACTATTGCAATCATGTGTAATAAAACTAGTGCCAAATTTATCTCAAAAAATCCAATAAAAAACTCTCAGATTAAACACATAGACATTTAACAACATTTCATTAGAGATTATGTAACCAACGGAGATATGAAATTACATCATATTGCTATATAAAATTAACTAATAGATGTCTTTACAAAGCTACTTGCCTATGAAACCATTCGCTCCTTGAGAACTTCACTAGGTATTATAGACATTCATGCTTAAATCAGGATAAACTGAAAACTTAAATATTTTCATGTGCTTTTATGTAATTTGTTTTGTGATTGTTCGTATTTATTATTTATGTTTTTGATCTATTTTGTGTGATTTTTTTTGGTTTTTCTTTTCATGTATTTTTTTCTTGATCATCATATATAAATTCAAACTTACTCACATTGTAATGTACAATATCACATAATACCATATGATCTTTATAAAATATCACATCACTGCTTACAGCACATTCAATAACTTTGATTGATCAATTATTGGTTATTGTATTATACGAATACCCAAGTACTATACGAACACCCAATTTGTACTATATGATACATGTGGCACTCATAATTAAATTAATTTTATTTAATTGGTATTATATTCAATATCATATTGTATAGTACGAATAGGTACGAACACCTATTCGTACTATACAATATAACCAGCCAACCATCATTGAGGATGATGCCTTGGGATGACCGTCCTAATACTGATAGTCTAGTATGATTTTGATCGTACTGTTTGATAAGATTGACCTTTTAGATTGATTGGACTAGATGAACTAAATTCCTTGTATCATAATACATGATTAGACATTGTACTATATGATATGAATAATTTCTATTTAAAGGGAGGAATCACAAGCATTATCTTCACTCCAATCCATCCTCTCAATATTTCTCCCTTCATATCTTAGTTCATACTCTTTGCAATGGACAGTGGGAAGCGCTCCAGGGCTCAAATAGAAAATTTATTTAAACATCCCTTGATCCCATTTCCCTAAAGTAATAGATGATGAAGCATATCATCGATATAAGGCTGTCAGGATCTCCCCCTCCATAACCATAAACAAGGAAGTTCTAAACTTCAAAGTTTTCAATCTATTTTCTTGACCACCCTTCAATTCATTCTTACTCTACCATTTCCATTCAACGCATGCTTCTCTTTAATTTTTTTGCTAGACTTCAAATATATAGTGAGGGCATTGCCCTTGAATCTTAAGTTAATAGAAGGCCGGTAAAGATCACCTATCAGGACTTCAACCAAATATTGCACTTTTTTACAACCAATGAAAAAGTTCATTTTTTATCCTTTCTCCGTAACTATAATTAGAACCATATCAACACCACCCCTAAAGCATTATTAGTAAATTTCCACATTCCTCTTTTTAACACCTTAGTTCAAGATTCCCAAATTATTCAACATATCCTTAAAAATTCAATCATTCCAAAAGCTGATGATAGAGTAAATATCACTTCTCTTTTATCCCTCATTACCTACTTTATCATACCTAAAATTGATTTCAATGCTACTGATTTAATTATTTGAAACATTAAAAACCTTACCTATATTAGAGATCCTAGCAATAAGAGAAAGACAAATATTTTATTAGGTCAAATCAATACCTATGTTTTG